CTATTCATGAAGATAAAGTAGGACCCTATTTTATGAATTGGGGGTGAATAAAATAGAACATCCCCAAACTACAGCCGTGCAGTGATAGCGTACATAATGATGACTGTGTGCCTGATTTGTCTTGGTTTGAGAGAACCACCTCTCTCGTTTGGTTCATATACGAAGTAATTCAAAGATGTTCATCAAAATCAGGGTTCTCTTGTATTTGTCAAGCTAGCAGCCCCGCTTTATGACTGGATGGGGGATAACAAAAAGAAAAATAATCGAACAACCTATCCGAAAGGTGTTGGGAAATCTACCACAAATTATTCAGTGATGTATTTGATCAGTGGTAGGTTTGTGTGTGTGTGTTTTGGATGTCACCAAGCTCTTGAGAGCTTGCAAAACACAATTTCAAATCAATGTAGGATGAGGAAAATATACGGTCAAACCAATCTCAGGGTTCAAGGCTGATCAGTCTAGGACTCAGGAAGGAATTCTGCCTCCTAGCTAGACCATTTCACACTTGACAAGGTGCTTCATGGGGATATTTGCCTTTCTTTGAACATCAAGTAGGAATCACCTTTGGAGTGAACACTGTCCTTGATGAATCAACAGCCAAAGCCCAGAGCCACAAAGGTATTTAAGGGTTTAACTTTCATTTGTTTATCTCAGTGGTAGTTAGGAGCCTAAATGCCTTTGTGGATTTGGGCCCAAGTGTCTCATTGATGGTTTATAAAGCTGGAATGGAGCCTTGTACCACTTACTCCGATCTCCTTGTAACAAGCCATGATACTTCCTCCTTTGATATGTAAGCTCATATGACCAAGACTGTCAAAAGTGAACAATGATTTTGGGAGTCCAACATGAGATCCTTAGAAAGTTTGGCTAGCAGAGGTGCTCCGCACTTTCTAACATGCAGCTCTCAAATTAGTCATCCAAAATCACTTGTCACATTTGAAAAGCTTTGACCTATACTTGTAAATGACCTATCTGCATATGCAAAACCGCAAAAAGGATTCGCTATTTTTGAAAGTGTTTGCTAGATATTCAATATTAATTTAGCATGATTGTTTTTAGCAAGAGGCAGTGCTCTCATTTGAAAAGTCCAATTGGAAGCACATAAAGATTTTTAGTGGGACTAAACATCCAGCCACTTTTGCACCAAAACAAACATGCATTGTATCGAATGTCCCCTCATGGCTGAGCTTTGTTAAAGAATCCCATGGGCTGAGATACAGTCTCATTTATTGTGAGAGTTTATCTTTCCCTGAGACAAATGAGCTGGCCAAACCTTTTTATTCTTATAGCAGCATATTGCAGGCTGTCCTATAAATTGTTCAACTCATCTCCTGCAACAGGTCTATTGTCACCTTTTAGAAAGGGGAATGATGAGGCATACCTGGGAGGTTGACAGATGCCTTTGATGTGGACCTTGGAGCATCCAGACCACCAAACAGCTGATCAGCTCAGTGCGGCAGCCATTATTTAAATCACCGCTTCATTTTCCTATGCTGGGTAGTCTAATCTTCATGCCTCTGTCGCCAGAGGCACGTAGTCTAGACGTACCCTTAAGGTGCTACAGGACTACTCGTTTTTAAACATGTAACAGAGTTGTTTTCTAACTGGCTCACCTTGACATTTGCCTGCCTGAGCTGTTTTGAAAAAAACCCTATTTTAAAAGTGTGACCTGAATGTCTCAGTCTATGGAAACTCATGCAAGCCAGCTCTCTGCAGAGGCGAACTTGACTGGCCTCCCAAGAAAATGAGAGCACAGCTTGTCCACAGATGAAAGTTGTATTGCTTGATTTATACTAGTGTCATTAAAACAGCACAGCCTCCCCTTGCGTGGATGCAGTTTTAGACCAGTATAGTTTTGGGAAAGGGAAAACACTATAATGCTCTAAGACACTTTGGGTGCATCTAGACTGGCAAGATTTTGCACAAAAACTTGCCAGCTGTCTACACTGGCCGTTTGAATTTGCGCAAGAGTTACATTGTTCCAAAAATGTCATGGAGCAAATCTGAAAGCCTAATGACAATGACTTTAACATCAGGGTACTGTTTGTGGGTCTTATTTACAGCAAATAGTCCATGTCATACGCTAAACTCTCTGATTTCTCTCTGACATCCCTAGTTGAAATGTTAAGTTCTGTTGGCTCAGATCTTTGTGCTGGTATCTGTAAACATCTTGTCTGGATACTTAAACAACAAATAGTCTGGTAGCACTTTAAAGACTAACAAAACATGTGGATGGTCTCATGGGCTGTGCCCACGAAAGCTCATGTTACCATCTACATGTTTTGTTAGTCTTTAAAGTGCTACCAGACTATTTGTTGTTTTTTAAGTTTATTCTGTACAGACTAACTTGGCTACCCCCTGAAGCTGTCTGGATACTGTTACCCTGAGTCCTTGGCTGGCTCTGTCAGTGCCTAGAAGATTGTATTCCTTTTGGAAAATGTGAATATGATCAACTTTTCCCGCACTTTACCAAAAGAAAGAAAATCCAGGGAGGTGCATGTGAATTTACTAATTAAATACATGTCAAGTTACTTAGTATTTAGTACTAGTAAATTCTAGAAGTAACTTGCTCTACTGTATGCATTCTGCAAATGGAAGGAAAAGCTCCCAAGATGCAGATCAGAGGAACCCACACAGGTGCTAAGCACTAGTTACAAGATAGGGATGGAAGCAATGACTCTGAATAGCTGTTCCTATCAGATTGTGTTTCATTTAAAATCTTATCTTCTGTGCAGTTTGATTGGTGTCATTTCTTTTATCTTAGTTTCCTTTGTAATTCTCGGGCTCAATAGGGTAAGTTAATGCGATGTGTCCTTTGTAATTCATTAGCAGACTTTTCAAGCAGATAAAGGCACATGATCTGCCTTCGGCCTCAGAAAGGGTCTTGTGGGAAGCCCCACTCCCAATCCACATCCCAGCGCTGCTGTGGGCTGTGTTCACTCCCTCCCTGAAGCACCTAGTCAGAAGACACCAGCAGCCTGTGGTACCTTCAAAAGCATCAAACACCAAACATTAGGTCAAAGCTGGTACTTATCAAGCTGTAAATCTCTGTCCAGCAACAGCAGTGGATTATAAAGAAACCCCAGATTTGAACCGCGGGATTTAGCTAGCAAGACACTAGCGTGTCTTCTGCATCCTGCGTCCAAGCGCTGCTCTCATCCTGTTGTCTCGACTCCTGCAAATTCCTTGATTTCAGTAGGCGCTTTTCCAGGACAACACTTCAGAGGGGGAGCCGAGTTAGTCTGCAACTGGAAAAGCAGCACGCCGATGGGAAACATGTCGATGGGGCCATGAGCCCCATCCTGGGCATGTTCTGTTAGTCTTTAAGGTGTTGCGAGACTACTCCTTGTTTAAGCTTTGCCAGGACAGAAAGGCTGGTTGGGGCTTCATGCCCTGTACAAAGTGCCGAGGTCGGACAGGAGACAGGAGCAGGATCTAAGTGGTGATTTATATGTGGAAGGAACTTAGGGGCCTGGCTGAACAGGGGTTGCCGGGGGCTCCTAATCAACACACATGAACTGGAGGCTCAGACTTACCCAGCTTGAAGGACATGCTAGGGGTAGGCGAGGTCAGAGGGGTCTCTTACCACAGGGAGGAGACTTACCGCATGCTCCAGGCTGGGAGCTGAAGGGCTCCTCTTAGGCAGACGTGGCCTCAGGTGACCCCTTTTAAGGCTGGATGGGCTAGAGCCAGCTTCCAGCCGTGGGCATGCTGGGGCTTGCCCTGCAACAGCAGGCAGCTATTAAGCCCTCGCCAGCGGGAGCAGGGGTGAGACTGGTTCATCCTCTTGTGGGCCGCTGGCTAGTGAGCCTCTATTGCCACAGGGCCTGAGAAGTAGCTGCGGAAGCGTGCTGGGAGGAGGATGACTGGATTTCTAGCAGTTTGGTCAGGCATGGAAGACGAGCTTGCTCTGCAAAGGCTGCCTGGACTTAGGGGTATCTAGATGCTTTGAAAGGGGGTATCAGTGTGCATGACTTGCAGACTGGGGCAGGCGAGTCTAGCTCCCCCCTCCCCCAGCACAGGCCTGCCCTCCCAATTATGAGGGAGAAAGCCCAGGCACAAGGAAATAGGAACCACAGGGAGGTTACAGGTTAAGAGTGGGGGACCCTGAGGAGGAGACTGGACAGAGAAGCCCTGACATTGCCCACAGCTGCTCAAAGGCACCTGAGGAGTCATTGAACGCTGCCAGAGAATTCTGCCTGGACACGGGCCAGAGCACCCTCTCCTCTGGAGCGCTGGGGCTACTGGGTCACGGCAGGGCCCTGCATGGGGCGTGCATAAATTGGGAGGGGTGGGGAAAGCAAAGCCAGAGCCTCTGTAAAAGGGTTGTGAGGATCTGGAAGAGGTGCTGCAAGGGGACACGCTGGGGGATGGATGCCCAGGTCTCCCTCTCAGCGCAGAAGGGTCTGGTGTTGGGAGAAACTGGTGAACCGCCCCCAAACATGCTTGTGCTCACAGCTCCACCGAGGAGCTACCATATCCCTGGCACGCTAGGGTACCGCCTCACTCTCCCCTGGGGCAAGAGGTCCTGCCAGCCTGGGTCAGGGGAGCCAGGCAGGCACAGGAGGGGATGCAGTGGGGCATGTGTACAGATGTGCTCCGGACAAGGGCCAGAGCAGCTGGAGATTTCCGTTGGCACAGGTGGCAAGCTGGGGATGTCTAGGAGGCGCTGAGGATGAGGCCCCATGAGACGTTACTAGGAGGGGAGAGCTCTTCCCCTCCCATAGGTGCTCAAGGAAAGCTTTTCACGTCCTGGAGCACATGAGAGGGGCCATGAGCTGCAGCATGTACTCAGTCAGATCGTAGACCACCCTCCGGCACAGCAAGGGGGGACTGCACCCCGAGGCACATCAGGAGGTGCTGCCCTGTGTGCCCTTTTGGAGCACTTATGGCCAAGCCCCTGCAAGGGCAACTCAATTTGTGGGACTGCCCTCGTATCCCTTCCTGGCACGTAACGGGCAGCAGTTTGCTTGCCAGTCAGCAAGGACCAAACACCCACATTGCTGCTTTCATCCCCAAACCTGGAGACCCCAAATGATTTTATTTCTCCCGCTATTACAGTTCAGTCCCCTGTACAGTATTGATATTGCCAATTAACAGAGGCAAAGAAACTTGAAACAAAACATCAAGAGCATTCCTCTCTCGCTCCGCTGCCCATTTCCTGCAGGGGCCACATACATGGACTGACACCCATGTGAATCAATTGATACATTCTGTCCTCACCTAACAGGACGTGTCGGCTCTCGGTCAAAGCGAACAGACTGCCCTTGGTAGGAAAGAGCGAGTCACTCAGCAAAGCACGGCTATTCTAGAAGCCAAGCTGGCAGGAGCCCTCATGTGGAGGGCCCATCCTCCACCGGACAAACACGCTCAGGGCACGTACTTTAGATGTCCATATCAAACTGAGCTTCCTCACCTGTAGAAAAGAAACCAGGAAAATGTAGGTGAGTACTTGCTGACGTCCTAGTTAAATTGCAAACACTCGACACTCAAAGATGGGCAGCCTCACAAGAGCATAGAAGTCTGGACATGACCGTCAGGAATGGAGGAAGATTCAGCCTGCTACGTACAGGGATTGAGTCTTGCAGGGGAACTGCTGAGAGAGGGAACAGTTTGCTCTGATCTTAGGGGGAAACCAGTTCATCTTTGGGCTGATGTTCTGCTCTCCTTCTAAACAATATCTCCTCTGCCAGCAGGCACTCCGCCAACGCACAGAGCCTTGGAGACACGATACATCTGAGGGATCTGACAAGAGATTTCCACCCTTCCTTTGGAACACTACTCAAAAAATCCACAGAAAGAGAAGTGGGTTTTTATATTTTTCCTATAATATATTGGATCACAAATATGGGTCTGTTTGCAACAAGAGGCAAATGCCATTTTAGTCAGCACAGCGTGATGCATGTGATTGCTATTATAGTTGCTGCTTTTGATCGGATGCCAGTGTAAGCAATGATGCTATTATTCAGCTGACCCGTGGAAGGCATCACTTCACTCACCCTGCCTCTCTGCTATGCTGGAACCACCACAGCTACCCTGCCACTGCAAGCGACATGAACACTGCAAGCTAGAGCTGTTACACTCCTTATTGCTAGTGATGCAGAAGATGACCCTTTGCGGGTACCAAACTGAGCCAGAAGAGAAACAAATTTTACTTTGGCTTGCAGGGTGATTGGTTTTGATACGAGATGTGAGGGAGTGAGATACAGAGCAACATTTGGCTAAGTTGGAAAACTCAACCCAGTGTTAGTTTGAGGACACGTGCCCATATCACAAAACGGACAATGCAATTTAAGGTCCTTGTAAGCAGACATCTCTGCAGAGAGGTCAAGGACTGTGTGGGCCACAGACAATTCCCCTTTCATCCCCATATCCTTCTGATGCAAGGAAAAAGCACATCAGCAAAAGATGGAACATGCAAAGCTTGGCTGCATGCGATCTCCAGACAGGAATCAGTCTCCAGAGTTGTTAATCCAGCAGTATGTTTTATCACTGCTAAGTTAATATGAACGAGACAGGGAGAGGAACAATGACAACTGCTAATCACATCACTTAGTGCAGTGGTCACCAACTAGTAGATTGGGATCTACTGGTCGATCTTGGAGCCTCTGATGGGGGATCCTGACTGGTTTGGCCAAGAGGCTATCAAGTGCCAGCATTTCAGCTGCCCCTCCCCCACTGCTCTCCAGCTCCTGCCCTTTGCTTTGGTGCTGTCCCCTCAGGAGCCTCCTGCTTTCTGTGCAGGGAGGGAAAGATGAGGAGGGGGCTGCTGTCAAGGTGCCCTCTCCCACCCTGTATCCTATCTCCACAGAGCAGAGAGGGGGCACAACAGGGCTTGGAGGGAGTTCGCTGGCTGCTTTAGGGAGTGGTGCAGGGCCAGGGCAGGGGTGAGCCTGTCTTAACTCCACTGCTCCGCCACCTGAGGTAACCAGTGGCCAGCTGGAGTCTGCATCCCGAAACCCCACCCCAGTCATGAACCCCTCCTGCACGCCAAGCGCCTGACCTAGCCCTGAATCCAAACACGCTCCCAGTGCCTGCACTGAGAACCCCCCTGGCCCCCTACTGGCCTGGCCCAAGCTCAGCTCAGAGCCCCTCTCACACTCCAGATCCCTTCATCCAAGACCAGAGCCTGCCCCCCGACCCTCTGCCCCAGCCTGTTGAAAGTGAGGGAGGTGGGAGTGAGCAGGGCCTCAGAGAAGGGGCACAAAGGAGGCGGGGCCAGGGTATTTGGGTTTGAGGTAGATCTTAGATTGAACTTGAATTCAAAAAGTGATCTCACGCTTAAAAAGGCTGGAGACCCCTGACTTAGCGCACCACCGGAAGGCGCTCACACTACGGCAATGAGGCTGGTGTAAGAACGATGTCTAACCCCAGAAAATCTTGATTTAGCCTGTAGCCGTTCAACACAGTATCAGTTCCTCCCTTGCTGCTCTAACAATATGCTGGCTCCAATCTGTACATGTGCAGATTGCAAGTTACTTTCAGGCTTTGCCGGGGGGTGCCACTCACCTATGCCCACCTTCTCCTCATAGTTGTGGATATGGTTGTTTTCAATCTTCAGCTCCTCCACATTTGGACTGGTGACACCTGGAATGTCTGGAAGGTCACAAGGTGAGGTTTTGGCAACTGGGGAATTACGACATTCCATCAAAAACTTCCGGTCATAAATAATTCTTGTGCCTAGAGGAGGAAAATAGGACATCCTGTCAGCTTTCAGCATGGCCATATGTAGATGTTTATGGTCACTGCATACCTGCAACAGTGTGTAGAGACAATAGCAGCTACAGCAACTTAAATTACTAGCAGCTCTTGCATAGCGTTTTTCATCCAGACATCTCAGTATGCTTTACAAGGAAAACAAGTGTCAAAGCCCTAACTTACTAGGAGCAGAATGCAGGACCCAGAACGTAGTGCTCAATCCACTAGGACACACCACTTCCTAGTGAAAACCTAGCTACGATGGCTACATGAAAATAATACTGAGGCTCCTGAAAGAACTAGGAAAAAAATCAAATTAAAATTTAAACTTTTCTCTCCCTTGTGGTTGCAGGATATACATGTCACATGCTTTTCTGAGGTTAACAATAATTATGAAACCCCACAAGTCTAAGCAGATAGATCAGGAAATTAAAATTGCCTCTTTTTTTAAGTCAGATTTTGCTTGTTATCAGAGCAGAGATTCCTGTATGGAGGCATTGCCTTTATGTGGTCTGCCTCGGCTGCCCAGCTCAGAAAACTTACGTTTATGTGTGTCAGGATTCTATAACTAAATCAACACAAGGCAGCTGACTCATTTTATTTGCAGTGTATGTTAGTGGTGATAGGACCTCACCCTATTGTTGCTGTTTTGTTAGAACAGAATAAAACTACATCGTTATTAATTGGCAGAAAGCAAACCTGGAGGAAACCGGGGAATTAAGGCTCCCTGCAGGGATTAGAAAGGAACACTGTAGGTAGGCTGAGCAGCCCATTCCCTGCCCAGGCATCTGATATTGGAAAAATACCAAACCAGAGTAAAAAGCTCTCTCCAAAGAGACAACATCCATAATATAGAAACGATTCAAAACAGCTTTCCAAGGGGAGGGCTGCAACATCTCATTTCAGGATTGGACATTTAATACACTACCCCCATCCAACCAAATAGCATCAAGGAATGCTGCCTCCCCCCCATCCCCGTTTGCTCCCATGTTCTTTGCTGGTGGTAGGCATGTATACAAGAAATCAGAGATAATCTCCCTCCTGGAATGTTAGGTATATTCATGTTCCATAGCCTGTCTGTAAAGTCGTGTAATTAGATATTAAATGTTGAGGAAACTCATTAGCATAATTTCCAAGACATTGGAACCTTTCAAAATTGAAGATAATTGTGATAAGTTTCTGCAGATCAAGGCAGTGGACTTTAACTAGCAACATCTCCAATTCTGATCTATGCTCCAGGACAAGTGCAGTTAATCAGGATTTGGGTAAAGAAACAACCCTAGCCCACAGTTATAGGCTTTGGTAGCTGGAAGACGTACAGAATAAGGACAGGGTTCCTAGAACTCAGCTAGCATACTAGGTATTATGAGTACATTTCATAACAGACTTGGAAGAACTGTACATTCCTGGCTTACATTCATTCACACAGTCACATGCCTCGAGCTATTGCTTAGCAAACTACATAACTTGTATTCCATGCTTTGATTTATTATAACAGTTGTCTTAGAAGGGGATGCACGGACGTGCAGAATTCATACATAGGACCCCTTCCATCAGGAGAAACACAAAACCGATCCATTAAAAATCTTAATTTCAATTCTCCATATTATAAGAACCATTTGATGAAACACCCCGCATCAGCTTCTGCAAAACAATCTTTACTCCCTGCCCCAGGACAGCTGATTCGTGGCTTTCCCCTCCTGTCCAACAGAGCTCCAGCCATGCATGGGGGAGGGGTTCTGACTGGCAGAAGTTCTCTTCTATAAGCTTCTGGTCAATCTTGCTCTCTGTGAGGGTTTGTATTGCCCCCAGCGCTGTATCTGAGCATGTCCCTGCACTGTGTAATTGGAGGACAGGCATCTGGTCCTTGTTAGGGTTCCCATCAAACTAAGTTCATTGGAAGTAGGAAGCTGTGATACTTTGATCAAAGGTCTTGGAAGACAAGAGGAACAAAAAAAATCGCATCCTCACCCACTGCTCCCTTCTTAAGGGCACCCTGACAATGCTTGGAAGCGATGCGCAAGTTACAAAATCCTAGCAAGTGCTAACAAGATACTGGCTCAGCAGTTTCTGTCTTCCAAAGCCCAGTGGCTCTAACCGGTTCACTGTCTGGTCCCTGTGCAGCCCAGACACACAAGGAACGCAGGCTCAGGCCCTTACAGGGACAGCCTGCAGGGGAACCCCAGCTGCCAAACTCATCAGAGTCTCATTCCTCATTTCAGTTGCTGCCTTTGGTCCATATTAGGGGCCATTCAGCAGTCTCACCGCACGGCCAAGCGTACTTTATTCTCTCAACTTCTCCCGGCCAAGATGGAAGAGGTAACCAAGCCCCTCCGGGCCACAACCGTTCGCATAGTGTAAGTACACTGAGCTGGAAGCACCCCGGCACAGCGAGGTCTTGCCAACCCAAAGTCCATTAGCAATGGGTGGAAGGGGACAGGCACCGTACACTGCAGGAACATTCTTCATACTGGCAAATCCCTCTGCCAGCAACCAAACTGGGATGCTCAAAACCATCCGCTCTGAGCTCCTCACGGACAACAGCAGTCTACAGTGGAGGTGAGGGATGCCAGTGGTGCCTCTCAGGGTCACCTAAGGACGAGTGAATCCAGGTAGAGCTCCTCTGTCTTAGTGGAGCCATCCTACAGTCAGAACTGGGGAGCAAGCAGCAAAGAAGAGCTGCCTCGCATGTGTGCAGTGATTGAAAAACCAAACTGTTTCCCTTTCTTTCTGCAGTGTGAAGATTAGCCTATTGCAGAAAGCCTATTACAGAGCCTGCAGAAGCTTGGAGCTGTGAAGAGCATCCTAATCAGTGGTCTTTAATAAATCATTCAAAACCTTATAAGCTCACTGCAATAGTACTGACAAGAGACTAAAATGACTATTTCAGGTCTAGCTCTCTCATGTTCTCTGAGAAATCACATTCCAGTATCACCCCATAACTCATTTTCACTCAAGGTAAAGGAAGAAAACATATATTGAGCTGGCTTTGAACTTACCGAAATTAGGCAAACCACTTTTAAATTACAGGACAATGCTTTCTGAAAGCCATTTGTGCTTCCAAACTTCCTCAGCACTAGACTTGGGATATGTCTGTGCTACAGACACAGCTGCAGCTATGTTACTATCGTGAAGACAGTACCCCAATTAAAGATTCTGCCTTCAATCTAACAGTGTCTCTACCAGTGCTTAGGTTGGCTTAACTATGTCCCTCAGCTAGGTCAACCTAAAGTTTAGGTCTGTAGATCAGGCCTCTAATACACCAATGGAACCGTGATAATTTGCACCAATGGCTGAACTGGTTACTGCAGATTTCTGATTTTGGCACTAAATCCTGTATTCCCCACACAGTTCCACTGAAATCAATGGAACTGTTTGGGAGATTAAAGAGTATAATATTTGGCTCTTTAAAATTAGAAATGGGTGTTCCATGCCCTATTACATTTGCTCCTTTATTCTGAAGTGCAACCTGATGTATTGTTTACAATGCTTCACTGTACACGTGTTAATAAACAGTAACATTTTGCTAAAGGTTTTTACACCTAAACCTTTCAAACGAACAAGCATTTGTTTAACATAGGAATGCACCTGAGAACTGTCTCTGCTCCTGAAAGCTTACTGAACAGTGAAGTGCAATTGCCTTTTCATAATAATTATTTGGTTTATGGATCAGCACAGGAAAGATCTGTGTGGCTGATCCGTGTTAAGAACTGTTAGTATTTGCTTAATTCACATTTTTTAAAGGGAGATTTGAAGGAATTTTATTTTAGAGTCTATTGACAGTAGTCTTGGGAAAGAGAGATTAAAACTCCATTGTTAATCATTCTAAGAATAGCCATGGGAACATAAACATATGGTAAGTACTAGCAGCAATAAAATGTAAGTTAACAGATAAAAGCAGAACTGAAGTGCGATATGGAGCTTTTAAACTCACCCTACTTTTTCAAATCTTAAAAACAAGCACACATTAAAATATTCATTCTCTGGATTATCCAAATCACTGAGAAACTAAACAGGATTCTTGAAAATAAAGGCTATTACTAGTGATTGGATATTTTGAGAAACGTCCTCTTTATCAGAGGCAGCTGCACAGGGTAACAGGCAGCCAGTCTGTGAGGGGAGCTGGTTTTTAAACTGGCTCCCCTCATAGACCAGCTCCCTCCTGGTACCCCACGCTTCTGCCTCTAATACAGTGGCTGCCGGCCCCACCCCCGGGGACTAGAGAATAGTCAACTAACGGATAAGAATTCATGAGGTGACTCGACTATTCGATTAACCGATACTTAGCATCCCTAACAAATATACTGCAGAACATGTATTGGAAAATAATCAGTTGATCCCAATTCTCCTAAACTTGTGACAATTGTTGCAAGAGGTGCCTAATGTTTAAGAATTCCTATTGCTTGCGCTCTCAGAGCACAAAATGGATACCTAGCACAACTGAAACTAAGACCTTCAGTTTCTGTGCCAAGACTCTCTCAGGCTAGCCCAACTGTTGTTGTTGTTTTTAAACACACCAATTTAATCTTCATACTTCTGTCTTTTTTTTTCTTTTTTTAAAAAAACTACTATTGTTACATGCACCTCCTAAGGTCACTTGACATGTAATATTAGTGAAAAAAAACCTCCTACCCACTTATTTACATTGTACATTTGACAGAACTTTGAATATATTCAATTCAGGGCTGGACGTAGGGAAACAGGTGTCCTGGGTGAACCAGTGTTTGGTGCTAACCCCCGTGGGCACAGCCCCGCCTGTTTCCCTCTGGCACCTACGAGCGCCCCAGTCTCGGGACCCCCAAACTATTGCCCCCTC